TAAATGTTCATAAACGAACACGTAAACTATTTCCAAATTAATGCAGAAATTACTTTTATTATAAAATGGGACAAAGTCCGATCTAGATCCCGATCCGTTGTTAAATGTGACCTACTAAACTTAGATGCTAAGGGAACGAGGGATTTATTATTGTTTTCACATCTCTATTCATTTTATTTTCATTAAATGATCCCATTTCTATATATTTTTAACTGTTTTAATACCATTTTAATTAAGGCGAATTAAATAAAAATCGGTAACGAATCTTTTAACTTATGTTAAAATTCTTTAAAAACCACCCAAAATGTAGATAATATAAAACAGTTTGAATAAAAGTTTTTTTAACATATCCATCCAATTCGTTATTAGAGACACTTCGTAAGCAAATAATGTACTAATACGAGTAATACAAACATGCAATTTACAGAAAAAATAAAAATAAATACACCACTTCATAGTTCAAAATATTCTCAGAAGTAAATGTTGAACTTCAATTCCCCTTCGGAAAAGAAAGAAAATAAAACTGGAGCATTTTAGAAGTCATAACAATGCATTCAAATTAAGGGAAATTCTTTCGCAAAGTAAAGTACAACAACTCGAAAACTTCCGTTTCTGTGAGTTTTGGCTTTTTTCCAATTTTGAGATACCATTTAAATAATAAATACGCACATGGGAAACATCAAAACAAATGCGCAAGAAAAAAGTTAGAAACATTTCGAACAATGCTTTGAAACAACTTGCTAATTGAAACCAACGTCTTTGAAGATTTTGCAATTATGTACAAAAATAGAAAGGTAATTTACAAAATATTAGGCCTAATGACAAGACAAATTAAATTTTTCGTCCCTTCTTTTAAAATTAAAAACCCTAAGAAAAAATTACACAACAATGATCCATTTGAAGTATTTATTTATTCTTAAGAATAAAAAAGTAACTTTAAACATTCCGTTATTCACTTAAAGAATTCTTAAAATGACATCACAAAATATTGCTATTAATATCAAAAAGTCAAATTCATGTTTGACTTCTCAAAATATCATAAAATTAAAACCTATCGACTATATCTAGTTTTGAAAACTCGTTACTTTATGTTGATAAGAGTATCATATTTAGAACTGCAACTGCGACATACACGCTATTCAAAACGTTGAGGTGAAAAGTGCCTTTCAGTTCGAGCATAACCGAAAACACTTTAACTCGCGTAGTTAACCACTTTTGATATTCGGAAAACGTTGTATTCATTGGAATGGAAGAGGACATTGTCGACAGCAAAAAGTAAAAAGAACAGCATGCTAATAAAAATATTTAGAAATTAAGCTAAACACGATGACGTTAAATATTCTCTTAAAAATATGCAAAACAAGGAATTGTCAATTAACAATTTATTTACAAAAGCTAATAATTTATTTATTAAAAATCTATTTTTATTTTGATATTTTCGATTTGATTATTAAAATTAGTCTAAATATACTTATTACCAAGAAATTAAGAATAGTTTTATGAGAATCCTATTAGAATTTCTGTCACATGCATATGTCAAGGAAAGTTTCTTAGATCCGAATTATGCTCTCTTATGCTTTACCGTTTGAAAAATACGTCAATTTCACAAACTTAACCGGTTTGTTAGACTCCAACTTGAAGTCGAAACCTCGATTTCATCTCAACGAAAGCTTTTCAAATCTACGAGCCAGCAGTTTTAAGAAACATTTTCCTGACGTGCGACATTTTCTAGTTGACATGCACCAACGGGTGGTTATTTCCACGTTAATAATTTTTCTTGAATACTCCAAGGTAGAAATTTAACGTATGAATTTTTATACATTAAATTTTACCGTATTTTAGTTCGTAGTCAGCATTAAATCTTCGCATAACCCCAAGGGTCTAGAGAAATGATACAAATACAAATATAGACATACACTGTAGAAATAAAACTGAAATTTAATGTACATTCAATAGAAACGAGATTTATCTTTATTTTTTTACACATTCACTTATTGTCTATAGAACATTTTTGGAAAGGTTTAGGGTTTAAATAGATGCTTATATTAATACGACTATTTTAAATAAGTTTACGTTTAAATAGGATTGTTTTAATTTCTTATTCTTTATATTAGATATATCTAATTTTAGGTTTATTCATGTTTTTATATTCAAGTTCTTATTGATGTTGTAATATATATTTGTTAATCTATACTATTATAATAAAGCGTAAACACACACTTCTTTGTTGCCTAAGATGCCAGCAATTACAGCATATTTTTCTTTTTTTTAATAAAAAGCCCTACACTTACGTCACGCTTTAGGCTATATGTTTTCACGCCATTAAACTTAGGGGGTAAATATTGTGGATAAAAACCCTAATGTGGAAAAGAGACCATAAGTTGCTGCCAACATCAAGGAAGCATGATTGTCAAGGTTTGTCATATCATGTCATTTTGACATTTGCTATTGATAATTAGACAAATGTAAACAACAAAATGAAATTTTCATAAATTCATGCGGATGAAGCCACAAGGGAACAGCTAGTCCTTTATAAAATATCCATCGGTTATCTACTTTTTTTTAATTAACACAAATTGATGCTCTTATTCTCGAGTAGAAAGATTTGTATAACTTATAAAGCAATGAAGAAGTTGTGCATGTGAAGTTATGAAGCGAAGTCATTCGTTAAAGTACATTGTCGTTGAACTGTTCTTAAAGCAAGTTTAAAACTCTGTTTGAGTAGCTAACAAGGACACGAGGCACTAGAATGCTACGATGTAACTTCTCATGCATGTTTTAAAGGGACTGGTAAATTGGTAGGTAATAGTAGTACCATTTTATGGTCTTTCTATCGCACTCAGAGTCTTTAATGGATAATTTAGCAGTCTTTTAGTGTACGATTTTTAAAAAAATCTACGGTAGTACTACGTAAATAACTATAAAACTATCCAAATGATGGAAGATCTTCACTTAATACCGATGAGGGATGAAATGAGGGACTCTTTATTGAATTACTAAGTGAAACAATTAGTGTAGAAACTAAATAGATGATTTATGTTATAACGCTAACGTTATTTCAACTTCAGTATGCTATTGTATGACATTTTTTGTTACTGTAATAATGCTCGCTTTATAATTAAAAAACATAAACGCAGTTGCCATAATTCTAGCGCATGACATGAAATGCGAGTAAGAATATTATTTACACAACCTAATTTACATTTTCTACGAGTGCACTATGTGAGGTTATTCTTGTTTTCTTTAAAATGCTTTATAAAAATGGTATGAAACGTTTACAATATAGTACAATATCAAATTAAAAACACATTTTTTTATCAACTATGAAAAAAAACGAAATTTAAATCAATGTTGCATGATGACAACGATGTAATAGTTTTAAATAATACGTGTGTTATATAACATTGTGATACTGCTTTTTCTTCAACAGGGAATCGAATCTAGAATCAACAAATATATAACTTAAAAAATAAAACCTTAGTAGTCTAGTATTATATTTAATACTAGCTATTCCTATGCGATTTCATCGACATTAAATTATTTTATTGTTTATTTTTTAAATGATCAATTGCAAATGTCAAAATGACATGACATGACAAACCTTGACAATCTTGTTTTCTTGATGTTGGCAGCAACTTATGGTCTCTTTTCCGCATTAGGGTTTTTATCCAAAATATTTACCCCCTAAGTTTAACGACGTAAAGAAGTTATTATTTAAAAAAAAAAGAGTTATTCTAAAATATTCTGTAATTGCTGACATCTTCGGCAACAAAGAAGTGTGTGTTTACGCTTTATTATAATACAGTATAGTATAGATGAGTATAACGGAGCGAAATGATTGTTAATATTTGGACGATTAATGTAACTGGCAAGTAATAATTTTGAGTAGTGGCTGATTGTGCATCGGGCATGATAGATGTCAAGGCGGCGATCGAATGCCTGATGACTGTTGTCATAAAATGGTGAAAAGTGAACTTTGCTATTAGAAAATCAATTAGTTCATCGTTGTTAATATTTGCAATTCGATTAGTGTGTTGTGAAGTTACCAATTAGGATGGTGGTCAACTAAGGATAGTGTTTCTAATGTTACGCGATTGTTATTTCATTACCTCCGAAATACGCACGCCTAAAATTGAGTATAGTTACCGTGTATATTATCTACCTTTAAAATTCAATTCTACAAACCGCTCGTCACTCCGACAAATACATAGTAAATATCTAAAATAAATATTGAATATTCTCTTTAAATTAATATACGCAATAAAAAATATGATCAAAAATAAATTACATGGCAATTCGCTGTGGCAGGTAACGTACAAATGGGTCCGTTCAAAACGAAAGTAATTCATTTATCTTCCTTATTCGCTTGTTTTGGTTCGGCGCTGCTTTTTCAGAAACGCCATCGATAAATCACGCACCTCCCTGGCTTACTTAGAGTTGCCGAGGCACTTATACTGCCGCATACTTTTATCCCAAGGGCCGTTACTTTTATTTTATAGACCCATTACAATTATAATCCTAAGATTTTATTCCATGAATGTATAAACTTCACAATCTATATCGTTATCAAAACTAAATTTACTAAAAACTCCATACATTTGTAACTATAAGTAAAACTCGGATACAATATAAATAAGGTATTATAACAAACCTATATTAACAATTTTACTTTTTCTGACTCATTGAAAACAGACACATTTGTAACAACATTACAGACACTAAAACCCGATTGCCAATGAAATTTGTTAACGTAATTTCTCATGTCCTTTACATTCGACTACACATAAGTCTACAGTTTATATTTTAGTCAAAACAAAACACGATCACATGATAATAAAACAGTTTTTATATCAAACAAATGCAGTTTGCACTTACTGATAGATGTAGTTTATCATGAATGATAATGATAAAATCTCGTATTACATACAAACATGCCAACATATATGAATATTAATCTTAACAATACCCTAAATGTCTGTTAAGTTTGTAAGACAACTTACTTCTCATGCATTATAAAGCAACAATCCACTCTCGCATGTACGAAATTCACCGTCACTTTCACATACACACACAAACGTTTTAGTATTAATATTTAACAAACACAATCCGAAGTACAGGCGCGATACACAAAAACGTGTCAAATGATATCTAACGAGCAACTGACACGCCCGCGTCTTATCATTTTACGGTGAGTCTCCAATGTCGTAACACCTGTATTACAACAATATCACTATCCTTCTCACACTGGTTGCAAAAATAGAGATAACGATAACATAATAAATGATACGAGAATTGAAATTCACGGTAAAGATAAGTTTCTAGTCCCTACATGTGACAGATATTTTACATGTTTTGTCAAAGAAAATTATACAATGTCTTACTGCAAAGCGGATTTAACGATCTTTATAACTCGACTAGTGCTAAATACAACAAGAATAATGTAATTGCAATGAAAAAAAAAATCTTTTATTAAAAAAAATCTTGTATTGAAAAATACTCCTAGCAATTGACTAGTAATTTGGCTGAAGGAAATATCTACACAAACTTTCATCACACACCTTAGATCTTTAGGAGAAATGTTTTGAAAAATCTTGTCTTAGTCACTCGCATAGTAACAAAAAAAATCTGTGAAAATGGTCTAGTCTTAATAGTCACAAAAAAAGCCCTTTACATTTTTTCAACACTTATAACCTTTGTCTTTTACCGTCGCCAATAAAGAACTGTAGGTGTTCTATATTTTTTTTTCTCTATCCATCTTTCTCTACATGTTCCAGACAAAAACTTATCGAATGAATTCGTAGTATTGTTCGACATTCGAATACGCTCCAGATACCAATTTATGTCGTTCGAAGCTCGACCGCAATAGGGTAAAAGTACCCTTAGCGTCAATGCATAGAAGCAATTACCCGTCTTAAACTCCCCTTATCCGATAGTATTAAAGCCTTAGGAATACGATTGAGTGAGTTTCAGATGCAATGCCGTAGACTTGTGAAGGATTATATGATCCTATTGGACGTGTAATTGGATAGCTTTTTCACTGTATCACTCACGTTACTGAAGCACATTTACTGTTAACTAGACAAGAGATAAGGCTAGGTTCATACTGTTAGCTTTTTAACCGTTTTGACATATTCTGTATTCTTGAATTAGAAGTTATTAGCTTAAACAATAATATTGTTAGGAAAATATTAGGCAAGGAAGGAATAGTGGGGGTAGTCGCTAACATAGACAGTATTTTTCTAGTCGTCACCACGGAACATACGATATCTTTTAGTTTAGTTTAGTTTGTTTATTTTAAAAAAATTACAAATATTGTTAATACGGCCGTCCGTCTATATTTAAAAAAAATGTGTCCAAATATCTAACATAACCTTATTTTAATCGCATCCAATTTTATGAATCATTTGTTCAAATCAAAATAAATTTTAATAAATTTTGATTAGGAACCTAAATTTTACTCAGGATTTAAAAGAGGCACTGAAAGGTCAATTTTTTGCGAGCAGCCGCTAAAGTTTTTAATGGAAATTTCACGAGACCCAAGCGAAATTCCATCGCTGTCATAAAACGAACGAGACTGGAAACATTAAAAAGTAACGCTAATAAAAGACAACGTATAAAGAAATAGGTAACAAATATGATACAACACATTATACAGTCTAGTCGGACGGAGCTAAATGTTATCTAATCACGGGTTTTCATTGAAGATAAACTTGTACCAAAACATACTCAACGCAACTAAAGATAACGTACAAATAAATATGAACAAGAACCTTTTGCTTTCTCTTCCATTAATCCTCTAAAAACTGTTTCAAGTTTGTTTTTATCTACGAGTATTTGACGTAGACTGATATAGGTGGATTTGTAACATGGAAAATAGAAAACGACCTTTTTGTGTACGTTCGAAGAAGGCATTTCCCTTCGTCTAAGCAACGAAACCCTCGTTCATTTTCTGACCATGTGAATTGAATAGAGATTCGAGAAACGTCTATCCGCAAACTTATCTTGACAGTTTGTCAGTGATAGCTGATAATTTGCAACGCTACATAAACTGTCTTATTCCAATAGAAAGTTAAAATAATAAAAACAAAAGAACGCAATTTTACACATTGCGGCTATAGTTTACACTTATATTGTAAAAAATGTGCGATAAAGTGAAGTAATATTGTATAACATGGATAGCTAATTTTTTAGTCATTTGTTATATTGGGAATATTTCAGCTCCATCCCGAGCTGGATTATCATCTCTCTCATTCTTATCATAATTTTTAAATAATGACTATTAATTAAATTTAGAAACTATAAGTAAAGTAGCAAAATTAAGCTGATTTGTCTAACGCTTTGTGAAGTCATAAATGCCATTGAAAAATAGATATAAAACGGTTAGTGGCACTCGGTCTTTCTCAGAGTTACCGTCACACAATTGACATGAATATTATCCAAAATTAAACACCGCGAATTATCAAATACTAACCTAACTAAAACAAATTAAATAATTTATCGCTTTCAACCACAATTCAATTAGGCCATCATTAGTGAATTAAATACGAATTCGTATAATTTTAGGCACCCTTCATTTGCGGTCGCGTCATCAATTATTATTATTTGCCGACTGCGTAATATTTGTTCGGACAACGTTTACGCAACGACATGCAGCCGAGTAATTTGTGTTGTCAAAACCGATAGCCGTTTGCTGAATACATTCGCGATTTGAGTTTGTTTTGTAGTGCGTGGTTAAATAGATGTGTAACACGACAAAGTAAAGACTCACCAGTCAAGTTGTGGCTGCTGTTGCCTTCGGCGAGCCTGTACGCAGCAGGGCGGCTCCTGCGGGTCACAGGGCAGCTGCAGCCCTGGGGGCGGCGGCGGCGGTGGCGTACACGCCAGGCGCCGCGCCGCCGCCGCGCCCACGTACTCCACGTACCGCGTCGGTGGCGGTGACGCGACAATGTCCTCGCGGCATGCTGGGCCACAGCATTTACGCGGCGCCGGCGGCCGACACGCCAGACCGCAGTAGACCGGTGGCGGCGGCCGCAGAGGCGCCGGTGGACGCGGCACATAGCGCTCCACGGGCACGTGCGCCGCAGGAGGCACGTAGCGCGGCAGCCGAGCACGTTCAGCCTCCGCGCTACGGCGCACGCGGCGCGGCGACGCGGAGAAGCGGTCCGGCAGCGGCGCGGGCGGCGGCGGGCTGAGCCTCTCCGGCGGCGCCACGCTGAACGCGCCCGCCGTCGGGAATCGCTCGCAGGGGGAACGCGCGTACTCCTCGCCCATGGCGCGCGGTCAACCGGCCCCGCCGCCGCCCGCGCGCCCTCCCGACGGCGCGGAGCCTCACATGCCGCGCGACCACACTAGCACTCACACTGGACGCGCGCTGCGCTGGCTCGTGCCCGTTGCACGGTCTCGATGTCCGCATTCACTCGAGCGCCATCGCGCTCGCGATCGATAGCGACGGCGCGGTGCGGGCTCAGAAGGCGCCCGCAACGGAGCACCGGGCTCGACGCATCTCTCCCTTGACTCGACTTGCGACGGGCTTTTTCGATTATATTCTTATGCTTGGGCGAGGCGAGAGTGCGTCCTCTGGCAAGATGGCGGCTGTCGTCATGGCCGCGCGCGGCGCGCTTGCGCGATTGTCACTCTGCAATGTTTATTTTCACTAGGTCTTTGGGGCTGAATATACAACACTGGTGGTGCGTGGTGGTGAGATCTCCTAGTGGCTAGACGACGTCAGGGAGTACCCGCGAGGAGCGCGTCGCAGCCGCGGCGGCGTGGTACGTGCAGAGTGCCGCGCAGGCGGGACGCGGGGCGCGAGGCGCAGGGGCGCCGACGTCACGCCGCTGCGCGTATCGACGCGAGCTGCGCGACCCTTTTGCGGCTACCTTCGCTCTCTTCATACACAAACACTCTATTAAACGAACATGTTTATGTTTTACTTACTTGGCCTTAAGTGTGCCTGAATTTATTTTGTATTAAAATAAAAAGATCCAATTTATAATCTTTCGATCGCAACCATATTATATTTGTTACTTAAAACTTTTTATCAAAGAGTATCAATTAAAGCAATATATTGCAGCATAAAAGTATTTTTTTTTTTAATTGTAAGATTTGATAGCCCGTCCGATATCTCGACGTTTTTCGCAGTAAAAACAACGTTTGCTTAATAATCACACTATTTTACTTCTTCTATTAATGCTGTAGTATGGATCTATACTTACATTGCATTACATTTATTAATACCGTTAGTAGTATCGTAATTACTACCCCATTACTCGTTAAAATATGTAATGTAAACACGGCATGTTTCGCTGTCTCTTAACCCAGATCGATGTTCGTAGGTGTCGTAGCTGGCGTATGTGGTGTAGGCTCGCTCGTAGCACGTAGCGCTCTTACTTGACATCACTTGTCATGCAAACCGGTCATGTATTAATCAACGTAATTCATTAAAATGATACATGAAGCTTAACATTTGTATATTACAATATAGGCTATTTCAAGTTACCCTTTCACATAGGCCTTGTACTTTCAATTGATGGTAGTCGTTCCCTACCATAATCGTTTATCCAAATAATAAAATTAATTGCAAAGCGACAATAACTTGGCCTTGCAATCCTGCAATTAGGGTCACCACTTTATTACAATCATCTTCCGCTAAATTTGGACTTTTAACGAAAAAAAAATAAACTAGAACTAAAATCCTCGCCACATAGGATCTGCGGCACCTTATTAATAACATTAATAATCGTGTAAATCTAATTTCAATGATGTCATTTACATTTAAACAAATGTAAATAGTGTTCGTCAACTAGAACATTGAATTCGCAACAGTATTTGCCTAATAACGAACAGTATAACACTCAGTCGAATCTCGCCACGGACCGTCGGCAAACACAATAGCCCGATAAACAAAAGCGACATGTGTCACAGCCAATATCATAAAAGCGAACGATGAAAAGCGTTTTATATAGAACAAAGTGCGCACACTATATAATATATATTATTGAAAGGGTTGTATAAAATGCCTTGGGAGCCTCATGTATTAAGATCACAAAATTAAAGACAAACTATAGACATAAGGAACAAATTTCCTTGCATTGTAAAGGCGTGTCGTGGGTCGTCATATTAAA